TGTTTTATCCTGACATACGTATGTAAGACCTTAGTGACTAGATCCTTCGAGTCAATCAATTTTTAATTTGTGTAGAAGACCTTTATGAAGTCTTCATAAATACTAAAGTTGAGATTAGAAATTTATCAAACTCTTGAAAACAAAGGTGACGTGGGAATTTGAACCCAACTATAAGAAAGAAGTTGAAATTAATTTCCTTTGGCTACACTATTTACCTGTGGGCATAATCTCCTTAATACTTCTTTCATCTGACACTCATTAATAAAGTAACGACCATGTCTGATAAACTAGGAAAAGTAGGCAAGTTATGAGGATAGATTGGTGTTGGCTCCTCTACTGCCTTTTTCCTCCTATTTTTGTAATCTATGTTTTTGTCTCTTGGATCTTGACGATGATAAATACATGATTCAAACCCTTAAATATTTGATATATGTACACAAAAATATTTTATTTTAATTAATTATATCATATTATGGATAATGATAATAATAAAATTATGATTAAAATTTAATTTCTTAATATAGACAATTTATAATATAGTAAAAAAATCTTAAATCTAAAATAAGTACCAATTTAACAATTATTTATATTGTAATTAATTATTATTATTATTAAACAAAATTATCTATCAGGTTTTATATATTTAAAAATTTAATATACTAATATACATAATTTTTAAAATAGTAAAATAAAATTTATTCCTAAATCTAAACTAAGTACATTTCAGGTGGCTTTTGTTTATGTAATACTGAAAAATCAATTATACTTTAATTAATTATTTTTACAACTCCTCTTTTACCTCTTATGTTTTTTTTTTTTTTTACTATAACAAATAAAAACTTAGTACAAAATTAATATGAACTTAAAATTGCATGTGACCTAAAAGTTATAATCTAACTTATAATTTATCAAATATAATTTTTAATTTTTCATATTTAACCACAAATTTCTCAAATATAAGCTAAAAGATTTCAAATCTAATTTAGAATGTAGCCAATCTAACTTCTAATTTTTTTATATTACCATAAATTTCTCAAATTAAAGTATAAGCTTTCAAATCTAACTTCAAATTTATCTCATCAAACCTATAACGTGGTTTTACAAATATAACTCCTATTGCTCGAACATTCCTTCACTCGGACCAAACAACTCGATCAATCACAACAAACCTCAAAATTTTATGATACTCAGGTAGACAATCAAATGTTCTCACAAGCTAACATAATCACTTCTAAAAGGTCTTGTCCTTCCCTATTGTGTAATGGCCACAAAACCATCACCTTGTTACCATTAGCATGTACCCAAGACCATTAGAGTGCTTTTCGTGAAGTGTAGAGAAATCTAACAAAGGTGTGTAATGAACGTTTATTAGCTTTTCTCACTGTATGCAGGTCTAAGAACTAACTTTTCAATGCCTTTTGACTGAGAGAACTTTAGGCTGCATTGTGCGTTCACATGCAAGATTTCAATTTTTTTCACATTGTTAACCATCTTCATTTCAATTATTCACGTGTTTGTTGGTAACCTCATTACTGAATATTTATTACAAGTTTCATGTTCTAATATGCACATAACTCATCATGTTAAAATTGAGTGACATTAAGAGCAAATGAGACATTTTGCCTCTTAATCCACATATTTATCACCAATTATTTGAGGAAACAGGAAAAACTATAGGTGGATGAGTCTCAACTCTCCATCACCCAGAATCAACATAAATTTGTAGATACAAACAAAAGGATATATCATCTCAAATTCATCTCCACAATTCTTCGTCCATAATATATCTCTAAAAATAAACAAATCATATAAAAAGAGTGAGAAAAAAATTATATATAAATCCTAAATTTTATTGATTACCGTGACGATATTTATAATAAATTTTAATATTTTCACATAAAAAATATTATTGTCCTACATAATATACTCCCAATGGGAGTATTAATACCGAAATTAAAAAACCTCTCCAAATAGTATGTAAAATGTATTCTTCAAATATTAAAATACTTTTATTTAAAAATATTAATTTTTAGTAGTCAATTTCATCTCGTATTTCAAGTTTAAAACTATTATTAAAAGTGACTTAAAATTTTCTCTTAGTTATTAGTTAACTTTAACTTAGTAATTTATAAATTCTAAAAATAAAAGTCATGATAATTAGTGTCTCCTGGTTAAGAAATTAAAATTACTTATTTTAACAAAAAGAATCATATAAAAATATTTTTTTAAACATCTTAGTTTTTTACTTTTATATTTTCACGAATCACTTCATTTGCACCCACGATTTTGGATAAAAAACCGTGAGAACTCGGAACCTACAAAATTTTCTTGAGATTGTGACCGTACAAAAAATTCTCGAAGTTTGGAACTGTTTAACTTTCAGAAGGGAGAGACTGTTTGAGTCACCGGCTGTTACCACTTGGTAACTGGGAAACACTTACGTGGTGACTTTCATTATAAAAGAAAGACATGTAAGTTTAGTAAAATCACCATCAAGTAACTAGTTACCGACAGCATGCGACAGTAAATAGTTGTCATTCACATCTTCTGTCTCATAAAAAGACGCTCGCTTTAAATTCCTCCGCATCTTTTTGGGACCACCATTACATAATTTCTGGGTCCGGCCCATAGGCCCAAGCCCAACAAGAGGTACTCATACTTCTGTGTTTTGAAAACTAAAATTGGACCCAAGGAAACGCTCTTCTAAGTTCTAAAATAAATATTGTCTACATGTGTTATATAGTTTATTGAATATTTCTCTTAATTTTTTTGTTAGGGTTGGAGATTTTTGTTCTTTGAAGGTGAAAGACAAAACTTTCGTCGTTTTGTAATATTCTTTTTTTTTTTATGGTGCCTCTTGATTAAGGTACATTTTATTATACATAGGTCCAGTGATGAACGTGGGACAATCTTTGATAGAGAATTCGAACTTTCAATGGTTAACTGTTACTTTTGTCGTTTCTGTTCTATCACTGCTTTTGTTTTTATAATGATTGTCCTGAACACAACTTTTAAAAAATTGAGTAATTTAAACCATGAAAAGCATAGACTGGCACAGTGACTTGGGATGAAGAAGTTCTTGCTGTGTTATTTGATATCTTCCTCTTCTTTATGTATTTGAATCTATCAATTTAATTTAATAAATTGCCACGTTCGAAACTTTGTTTTTTAAGAAAAGGGTAAGTAACATGTAAAGTTTATGTAACAATAGTTGAAAGTAAAGAGTGATAACCCAATAATCAACAAAAGGAATCCGAAAATATATGCAAAGTGATTTGAAATAACACTTCAATGATATTTGTGTATAGCAAATTGTATTTTAATATAATTTATACAGTAAAAGTATTTATTATTATAATTTTTAGTTATATAAAATAAGCATTTGTACATAACACATTTTAAAAATACTAATTAGAAACAAATCATTTGATAAAAAAGTATTTTATAAAAGATTCCTTCAGGAAAAATAGGAAAAAGAAAACGAGAAAGCAAAGGAGAAGACAGAATTTTGTGGAACAAAAATTTAATTAAATCTCATACATTGGCCAAAATATCTCAGAGTTTCTTGAAAAATAGCACTAAAATGAAACCAATAGACCTTGTAATAAGACAATAATTTGAATAATGAAATTACAGAGCGAATATACTAATTTATAAATATCATATAATTGTAATTATGCAAATATGAATTATTCTCGTATGTGTAAATTTTGGTTTGTTAGATTCAATTCTAACTTGTTTTAGATTGCATTGATCTATATTTCTTATAAATAAGGAATCTTTTCTTCCGAGACTTTATACCAAAAGCTTGTGTTTTTCTTTTATATTGTGACATATGCCAGTACATTTTCATTACTCGTGAAAAAACATACGTACTTTTAGACGCATCATATCATATGCGGGTGACCCTCTATTCATTTTCACCAACATTTATTAATCATACATATGAGAACAATATCGGCCTCACAGATGAACATTGATTGATTCAATGCACATCATTAGGATGGTCTTGTAAAGAAGGCCATGTGAAAAGGTGAATGTCATACTATTGAAGATATAATTAAACATTGATTCAATGGAACACTATTAAGATGGTCTTATAAGGAACCCCTTGTACGTGCCATGTGCAAGGGTGAATTTCATACTATTCAAGTAAAAATGTTTAGTTATATAGTTTCAAACAAGATATTTCAATAAGCTAGATTAACATGCAGTAAATTATTTTGTCAAATTCATCAAAGAAAGGAGACCAGAGTTCCAGACACAAACAATGCCGTGAACGTGAAGACTGTACTATTGCAGCAAGATGGGTCAGTCTTACGAAATTGACCCTGTGATGAAATAGCCAATTTTAGCTGAAACTGACAAAGCACAAACACGGAAACACAACGCCAGAACCAGTAACCCCCACATATTGCAACTCCTGTTTGTATCTGCTGAAAACCATGGTGCACAAGTGTGGTTGGTTGTTCAAGGCCTTGTAGTTTGTTCTATGAATTTCACTGTTGAAAACAGTGACCTTCTACTAGCTAGCCTCCTTGATAATTGCATATTATGCCATAAAAAAACAAAAACACGCAACACAGCTTCATAGCTGAGACAGTTGAAATTAGAAATTAAGCATGTACACATAACCTTGTCAGTTTTATTTTCTTCTGTTCAGAGGGTAATGAACGCTAATAAAGCAAAAGTCTGACATAAAACAAATAACATCTGAGAGTACTAACTAAAAACAAAGGACGAAACTGAAATGTGCATTCTTGGTAGTTGTCAAAATTTATCATGACAAATTCTACCCCAATGAACAAACACAGGACCAACATGATCAACTACCGTTGACAGATAACCAATCGATTGCATAAGCTTGTGATCAACAATTACTTTGCTCTATAGAACATACGCTGAGAGATGTCAACATCTTGAATGGATTTTGATATCTCTCAAAAATAGTCTTGGTGAATCTGGGTATATACCTGATTCACATGACTAATTTCCATCAATCATGAGCAGCAACCTGGACATCTTATCAAGCCATTCTCGTTGCAATCAGGGCACCTTCTCAACCCTCCTTCTTGATGTTCAAACACCTTCCTACTGCCATTGCAATTGGGGCATGGCACAAACCTGGCATCACCACAGTTGTCACAGACAAAGGCAGGATCCTGGGTGGGGAAGCCTTCCAAAATCCTTGCCAATTCTCCAGACTCATTCAGATGCTTCATCTCCTCAGCATTCCCCACATACTTCCCTCGGATAAAGACCTGTGGCAAGGTCACTGCCTTGCCACCAAGAGCATCCTGCAGCTCCTTCCTATAGGACGAATCCATTGAGATGTCCCTCTCATCAACCGCAACTCTGAAGCCCCTCAGAATCATCCTAACTGAACAACAATCCTCATAGGTCTTCCGGATCCCTCTCAAACTAGTACAATAAAGCACTATTCTGTCCTCAGTGCCAGGCAAACGGCACAAGTTATTCTTACCAAATGAAAAAGAAGGAGAAAATACCAAAGGGCTGGACCCCATTGACCTGATATCTCTAGATAGAGTGTTTCTACCTAGTTGCCTCGATGATAATGCTCTCCTGTAACTCCAAGCCACACTTGGATCCAACTTAGCAAGCAAAGCTTCCTCGGATAAGTGCTGCCAAAGTGGCTTCTTGGTTGATGCTGGAAAAGAAGAGTTTTCCGTTGCTGTTTGTGAAGTTTTCAGTGACTCAAAGGAATCAAGCAGTTTCTTCCTTGCAGACCCATCAAATGCTGTGTACCTGCACGAACTTGGCTTGTCTAAAACGGAAGTGTAAGGAGGCTTGGCAATTGCTTCTTGACGCTCTTCTTCTTCATCCAAGCCATCCATGAGTTCCCAAGTGTTGATGACTGAGTCCGGGGAGAGTGAGCGTTCAGGCTCAGTTTGGTTTGAGGTTTTGGTGAGGTGGGACTGGTTTTTTGGGCTCAAGTTGGGATCTTTTTGGTCAATGAGGAGAAGGGAGCCATAGGTGGTGGAGGTGAGGGACACAAGGTGGTGTGTGTCACCCTTTTTGATGGGAGGGTGATGGACAAGAGGCATTGGGAGAGAAAGGGCTCTTCTTCTAACTGGGGGTGAAGAATTGCTGGAGTTAATGTGTGAAGCAGAGGAGGAAGAGAAAGAAGAAGAAGCAAGAGAAGCAGAAGGCGAGGGATCCTGATCTGGATTACTGTTGGCCACTATGGTGATGGTTCTTGAGGCTGAGCAACCCATGATTTCACAATGAACGATGGGGTGTGCCTACCTTGCCTTTGCTTAATTGCTTTGCATCCTCTCTCAAAAAGGACACTTTTTTTTTCCTTCCCTTCTCACTCCAAACTTTTTGGCTCTGTGAAAGTCTTCTTTGGAAGACCTTTGTAAAATAATGATTGTCCTATAGAGATAGAGAGAGATTATTATGTGTGAGAGAGTTTTGGAGGCTTAGATTAGATGCAAAGGATGTAAATAAGGGAGGTATACTGTGGTGAGAGGTGGTGGAACGGCGCTTTCAAGTGGGTTGGAGGGGGAAGTTGATGAGCATCAATGCTATGTACAATTGGGATCATCCAATAGCGGTTTGGACCATTGTTTTTAAATTACTGATAAAGAATTGGTGGGGACCATTTGTTTATAGAGAGCTCAACGAAGTGGTAAAAAAAGGGACACTGATCGTTGGAAGATTCCTGTGCAAATTTGTAGGGTATACATTTTCGTATCAAAGTACTTAAGTTAAGCCTCTTTAAAGTATTGTAACCTATTTTATCATGTAAAACCAGCGTATTTGACTTTCCAGAACCTGGTTAAATTGGATCTGCCAACCTCCCTCCCAACTCCTGTTTTTCAAATGTTACATTAAATCTAGCAACATCTTTTTGTTCAGTTTGAAATTTTAATAATGCGCATCGTTATGTGCAACTACCGAGCATTTAAATTCCATTGAATTGTTGCCAGAAAAAAAGAAAAAAGAGAAACCGACAAATGCATGGAACTTGAATCATTGGATTTTAGTAGATATGTTTTGCCTCGTTAATAATAAAAAACCAAAGCTGGTGGTGCTCGTTAAGGTTGTATGTTTCATAGAGAAAAATATCAAAGATGATGTGATGTAATAATCTAAAGGAAAGAAAAATTACATTATATTTGGTATACTTTACTTATTTCAATAGATGAATACTATTAAAATTATGCTGAGTCCCAAGTGACGTGTTACATTTTTCATTATTTAATGCCATGAACGAGTCAATTTCAAGTTAAGAGAATCATAAAAAAACTCATGGGTGGGTAAACGCACAAGCTGTATCATATTCATTAGCATTGATTTTCACAGGTAGAGAAAGATTGACTTGGTTGGACTTATCCAACCTCTGCTGAAAACAAAGAGAAAAACAAATCAAATTATAGAACCAATAACAGTGAAGGCAGTTAGAAGCTTCACCTTTAAAGCCAATACAAGCAAGCCAAAGGTTGGCCCATTTGAAAGCTTAGGACGAAGGATTTCATAATCAGTCTTTTCCTATAAATCTTTTCACATTGGAGTTAATTTTTAATGTATTTCAATTATAAAAATCAGAGTTAATATATTTTTAAATGAATGTGTTTTTCTTTCTTTTATTATTAAGGTTGGCCTAACCCGACGTATATACTTTGTTCTTTTCAATATTTATTTTTCAAATTTTATATTAACAGGAAGAGTTCTTATTCTGTATAAGTATATTATTTAAAGTATGTCTATATCGTAGTAAGGTTTTTGTTAGGTCGTGTTTGGATATAAATAAATGACATAGTTAAGTGGAATATGGACTAAAATAAACCCCTTTGACGAGTGTATTGATGTTTTTTTATTTCATAATATCACTTTTACATGAATATACGAGAATGCATCACTTAAAAGAGAAAGAAAGGAAATGAAACAATGACGTTGATTTTCAGTGGCTAAAAGGGGAGAAAGTAGCTAATGTGTTAAAGAATAGCATAGCAAAATTTGATGATAAATAAAGCTAATCCAGATAAGATTATAACGTCTGAGCCACATGTCAGAATAAGTCATAACTAACAGTCAAAGTCCTTCTGGTTAAACTTCTCATCCAATTAATAGTGAATGATTATTGTATTCATTCCCGTGTCGGTTTTACTATAATCATTATTGTAATCATCAACCCTTAGCATCTAACAACATCAAAGCACATTACTGGGGCAATCACATGCCATGTTAAAGGATTCTTGGCTAGTTAATATCTAAATTTATGTTGTTATAAATATTAACCAATAGAAAATAGTTAGTTAAAATGTAGGTTGCTAGCCATACATATTGTGTCATAAAGGGTAGAGGTACACCTTGTGAATAATCAGAAGTTAAAATTGTGATAAAACATGCATCAATGATTATAACTTGATATTACAATGTGTAAAGTACAGGACATCTTTGAATGAAGCAAAAGCTGTTATGCTAATTACAGAGTTGCTATGTGGCGTGGTAAGAAATGGTGGAAGCAAACTCGAAAAAATTGAAGGAAGTTGGCATGATTTCAACCCTCAAAGTAGATTGAAATAGACATTTCATAATCAAGAAGGACCACATGGTAGCCAATCCGGGCAGGTGACACTGAGACCACAGGCCACAACTCCATTGTTCTTATGCGGCTCTGAGTTGCTGAAGTATCTGTCTCATCTACTTTGTTGCTTTACTCATAACCCTTTTCAAATTTCAAAAGAAAGGATCAAATGTTACTACCTTCTTTGTATGGTTTAGAAAATGTTCCATGTGGGTTATTTACCCTATTTTGTTAGTTGTCATATTTAGTGAGAAGATAAAATTGAAAAACTGCCTATCCTAACAGATCACGAGAGTAAACTTTGAAAACAAAAGGGAGGACAGAGAAAATAGCTTTTTAGTATGCTTATAATTGATGGATACCATGCTTGGATATTTTTAGAATAGTATGTACCTGTACACTGTATTTCATCAGATAACTAAATCCGTTAAGCATTCAGGATATGTCATGACACTGATGAACCTGAACAGACATGACAGAGTTCTTTCATAGATTCCAACCAATCTGGTAAAATTATTAACTTTGACAGAGCATGGGTGATTAATGAGCCCATCTGGTAGAGTTATTTATTTTTACAGTCCTTAAAGTGATGATTGGACAACTACTCAAGATTATCAAGAGCACAGCAGTTTAAGGTGTTCTGCAAAAAAATAATTTTGGTACAGTTCTTGATATGCAGTCTTTCAACTGAAAAGGGGTCTTAATTGGTGCACACTGTCAGACTAAAGACGAGATTATTACAATACACAATAACAAAATATGAAACGAATTTCCTGCTCCTAATTTCACATTTTAGGATAGTTAGTTCAATAACAAATGTGAGTTAATCATTCACCAAAATTTGTAATGCTCCAATCTTCACAACCAATGCAGCAGTTAGTAATTTTATCTCACATTCCACTTGAATAGGGAAAAAGGTAGTAAATATTGACACTTCCACTAGAAGGCTTTGAACATCATGGGATATTACATTACCACTGAATCAACTATTAGATATTAGCTAAAAGGCAGTTAAAATATGCTTCGAATGAGTGTGGATGATTATCTTTTATGGTTGGCTTTTTCAAACGTGCAGCATGCTTGTCTAATGTGGACTAATCAAAGATGATAAAATTACACAATATTAATTTTAGAGCTGATTTCTAACTTACTTGAGAGTTTAGGAATGCACCTGTAGGAACCTCAAAATTTTGTATTCAGATTATTGAGACTATAATAGCCCAGAAACCTTTTCTGTCCATCTCTTGAAAAATGAAATCACTGCACATGTTTAGGAACAAAAAGAAGTATTAAAAAGAACTCATTAATAAGAGATATAGTATGTTTGGAAATTAAAAGATGAATCCAAATCCCATATTGAATATTGAATAACAACGAGGAACTTGAATAACGTATAAGAAATAAATATCATAATTTAATGATTTAAGGTTTTAAATTGAAATTTGTGATTATATAGATTGGGTTCATGTAGACAAAGGACATCCTCCATAGAATACAGATTATGGGTTGACATTGGCTGTGATAATGTAACAGTGGAAGTTAATATGACAGCAGAGATAAACAATGTATATTTGTTACGAATTATGCAACTGCTGCTTTAATGCAGTTTGTTTTATGGTGCAGCGAAATTGCTTCATCGTCCCAGAGATTACACTCCCTTTGTATACAATGTCAAAAAAACAGACTGCTGCATCCTATCTATCCTTTCCCCTCTTGACACACGCCATAGACATATCAGGAGATTTGGTCCTTTGTTTTCTGTAGTTGTATTATCTAGTTGGGTAGACCAACCTAATAACTTACTAGACCAGCATTAAGCAGAATAGTAGAAACAGTTAAAAACGTATTAAGATGAATGAATTCAAAATTGCCAATTCACCAGCAATATATCACATTGACGAGTAATGAAACTGGTAACATAGCTAAAAATGTTCAGTTGTTTCTTTTTCTCTTGGCATTCGTTTCTTATTCAGTACAGCATCTGAGGCTGTATTTCGTCTTCATTTTATTTTACCAATTCAGACAATTGGACATAAAACCATCAGCCATTATTCCTCATTCTATCCACTTCTACCAATCCAAACATGGCCTAACTAATGAAATGTGTATCAATTCACCTGCTGTTCTAAGACATGCTGTTGAGGGAACTTCCTGTTAAGTGCAACAATAAAAAGAACAAAAGTCATTAGGATGAACCTCGTCATACATTTTGGTGACATGCACATGGTAAAGGTAAAGTGGGCTGAAGCACACCAAAGAAACAAAGAAGAGTAATGAGAAACATTTATCCTACGAAAAGCTAGGGGATACGCATTGGCCATGTTTGGACCTCCTTTGGGCATATATGCCTCAAAAGTTGAACCTCCTCTTTCTCCCCTATTTTTCAAAATATCTTTACCACATCCATTAGTTTCAATTGGTTCTTGTACGTCTCATCAACATTCATCCAATATAATTATGCTGCAAGGACATATAAGGCTTGACTTCCTACGTGACAATGTTAGAGGAGCTGTTCTGTTCCTAAACAAGAAGACGAAGCCAATCATAGAAGAGATTATCATTATGGAAAGAGCATTCAGGCTATAAATTTTGTCTTCATTTTCTTCCTGTAGTGTAAAGTGGAAGGAACCCAAATAACCAAGCAAAGCAGTTCTGAAAATTCAATTTCAAGAAACAAAGAAGGAGGCCCTCATTCTGTTCTCCAAAGAATGAAATCCTACATAGCAATTATTGCCTCCAAACATCATAGCCAGTAGAAAGAAAATATGGGGATGAAATTGGTGCTGGAATTAGAATTTGATTCTTTTAGTGCACCCAGTTTCAGTTTAGTTCTTTGTAGCATGGATACGGTTCACATTTATCCACCAAAAGCAATCCCAGCGGGATTTGTAGCGTTTTTTATGTTTCCATGATGGTGATGGGCTCATGTAGGAAACACGGTAATTAAGGCTATTCAGCCTTTATCCGGTATTTAATTTCCTAGAGAATATCAAGATTTGGATTAAACGCTGTTGCTGCCATTCAGGAAAGATTGTAGGACATTCAGCATTACATGCATATGCAACAGTCAAATCAATTCTGTCAAAAATGGAAGAATCTTATAGTCCCACATTGATTATTTTCAGTAAAACAACAGGGTTTATATTGCAACTTTTGAGGTGCATGGTCACGACCTTACTTGAACAGGATCTGTTCTATAGGCTCGTACCTCTGTATCCTAAAGTTCTAAGGAGACAGGAACCTACGTCTGGAGGATGAAATATGACCGTGTGATCAGAGCGTGATTAACGGCTTGGTGATATTCTCTGCCGAGACTTTATCAAAAGCTGTAGAGGATCGTTCTCAGTCAGTGTTAACTGGCCTGGGATGGTCATGCGGTTGTCTGACAGACCCTCAATTTTTTTTTGTACTTTCCATTATTAGAAATGGTCACTTTTTGTGAGGAGAATGAATGGTAATTATGAAATGGTTGAAGAGGATGTAATAAGTAATTTGGCATGAGTTGAGCAGAATTTGTGGTCAGGGGAAATGCCACGTTTAAAGGGTAAAACATCAAATTCTTTTAAACCAAAAGGCCCTTATAAGTGTGGTTTTTTCTTTAGGAAAACAATCATTTTGCTTTAAATGATACTAAAAAAATTATGAATTAAGTTGAACTAAATACATATGTTGAAAAATACTTGCACTCTTTTTTCGGATTGAGTAAATTTGTTAAACATTTCATTTTCGGTTAAGACAGAAACGCAATGCAACGTCCCTGTTTTTCATAATGTTAACTTTATTTATTTTGAAAATACATAATATCACTCTTATATCTTCCAGCTTTAACTAACATGTTTTTAGAACAGAATCATTAATTAAACCCATACATGTACTAGTCAAGTTTATTAATTCAAACGTTAATAACTCAACTAAACTTTTAGGACTTTTTAAATTATACATTCAAATTAGATTACAAACAAAATTAATATAAAAAGAACCATATTATCATAAGTCAGAAGATGTAAAAATTCATAATAAATACTAAATTACAACCCAGCTTTGAATATCATGATAATAAATTAAAATCTCAATTTCTTAAATGAAAAGAGAGATTTAAGTCACCAGTTAAACATTTATCTTAAAAAGTACCTTGCTTATATTTTAAAATTTACATGGCAAATTAAAATTCTTAAATCCTAGTTCAGTGATAAATAGAACAAGGACAACAAATTTGGAAGGCTCTTTGAACCTTCATAGGACAATACTTTTCACTAATCTTTAATAACTTGTATGACCAGGTATCATTGCAGGTGAGGGCAGCAATTGCTAAAATAAATTATAGAAAATATGGATTTAGTTTACATGCATATAAAAGAAGAAACACCCTCAAGCATCCAAAGTTAGGATAATAATGTTCTCAAATCCTCAACATCCTTATTAACATGTTGCTAATTCAACTTCTTAAGAATGAATGTTGTAGAAAAAAAAGAAAGGAGAAGGAAAAAAGTTAAAAAGGCCCAGTTCTAAGTGCATTGTCTAGATCATAAATGAGATCAGTCACGTCCTCAATCCCCACAGATATACGTACAAGATCTTCAGTTAAACCCCTGGCCTCACGAACTTCAGCAGGTATGCTTGCATGTGACATAAAGCATGGCATGCTGATAAGAGACTTCACACTTCCTGCCAACAACAAAAATAAAATGCCCAATCAAAATTCTGCATTGATTTCTCATATTTAACATCTTACAGTTATTTCTCGTACTAAATTAACATATTTTCAATCAGTAAATGAACACAAACTGTGTAGTTGCATCATGGAGATTTTCATCAAGTAAAGTACATCTAATAATGTCCAAACAATATTTGTTTTGATTAGAATGCTGCTCTAGGCCTAATTCTAACTTTTGATTTCCATTTTTGAGCAATTAGCATGCCAACATTCTTTATAATCACTAATGCGTAGGACATGGTACTTGCAGTACAATAGATGAGTGTAAACTAGTGTTAAAATATATTATATTGAACTAAAAGGCTTGTTCAAATATAGTTATATTACTTTATTACTACCAAGGGAAAATCCATTCATTAGAGCATTGTGTGGAAGATATTACCAAAGCTGACGGCTATGCTGAAGTATTTGGTAGTTTCAACGATATGCTTTGAAAGTGCAAGTGAACCAGTCAAGAAGCTAAGCACAGATCCTGCACCCTTTGCCTGCAATGAGTACATATGAATGTATGATAATAAATTGCAGCCACATAGGAAAAACAATCTTGATTTCAAATTACACCACACCATACCTGAGAATAGTGTAAATCACGACCGGGATGATCAGGCAAGCCAGCATAATTCACTTTCTTCACTCGAGCATGGGAGGCAAGGAACTCAGCAATCTTTTGAGCATTATCCTACACAAGATTTTCATTCAAAATTGAAAGTCAAACAAGCATTTAATATCCATAAATGATACTGACATGCCAATTGGATCTGGAACACAAAACGAAATATCACATTCTGCACAAATAAGGTCGTGTCCATGTGGCCTTCATTATTACTTCCAGTGGTCTTCATTGTATAGTTTAACCATCTTTTTGTTATCTTTTTTCACAATATGTGTCACACTCCGAAGATGAATACGTAACTAAAATAACCCTCATTCTGGGTCACTGCCCTTCTGAAATCCTTTTATGTATCATCTCTATTCTTAACAACTCATCACATGAAATACAATAGATTGAACTTAAGGTACTCAGAAAGATCCATGTGTAATTTGCTCAGAAGATATTTCAACCAGTTGTATTCTTGTTCACTTGACTAATCATTAAAAATCTTTAACTATTCTCAAAAATAATAGAGACAAACAATACATGCCCTAATATTATTATATATATAGCAGAAAGTTGCACCTGTTGCTTTTCAATTCTCAGGGCCATTGTCTTGATTCCTCGCAAACAAAGCCAACAGTCAAATGGGGCTAAGCCTGAACCCTCCGCATTTTGCAAGAAATACAATTCCTTTCCCAACCTTAAGATTGAAAAAAGTAGATAACCATCCAGGAGGGGATGAAAAGTGAGTAGTGAATACTGATCCAGAGTAATTTAAAAGAATAATTATAAAAATGAAAACCCCAGTAGAAGAATTACACATGGTTTATGAAGGATTAAAATCTTTTACTCAACTTTCGCTTAAATGAAGCTTACAAAAGGCTAAGAAGGGATAGAAAGAAATAGCGACAAGAGTATCATTAACCAAGTTTGAAGGAGCTTAAGCACGTAGAATTTAACAAAGCACAGGGGATTACCTCCTCCCCTTGGTTTGAAGACTACTCTAATAAAAATTCAAAACATAATCTAACCTATGATTTAAAACCAAGCTCATGGAATTTTTCACTACATATCTTACCAATATAATTTACTCAAGCATTTCAAATATGCATCAAGTCCATCTTGTAGAAAAGCTTGCCAATATCTACTGATCCATTTAACATAATAACAGACAAAAGCATTTACTTATAACATGTAAATAAAAGATGCTATTCAATTAAATTTAAATCACAGCATGACTGAAAATGGAATATAGACTGACAAGTTTAAATGACAAAAACAAATTATTCATATCTTTAATATCTGGAATTTCAAGAAACATTAAAAGAGTAATTACTCTTCACCCTTCACAGCAAGCACACCAGCCATAATGTCACTATGTCCACTAATAAATTTTGTAGCTGAGTGCATGACAATATCTGCAGCACAAAAGTACCAGTCTGAGAATATTTTGGGGAGAACTGGGCTTGTTGAGATGATCTAAATAAATTCCTTTATACATGAAAAAAAAGAGTGAAAAATGGAGTTTGCATTCGTTATACTCTTTATCCAAATATTTCTATTTAAATGACAATAGAGTGAACATTACAGAGAAAATATATTGCTAAGCAACCAACCAAGATAGATATGTAGTTTTGACATTTCGTATATTTTAGGATGAGACACAAATGCAGAAAAACCTATAATGAAGTACATTGCTTATTTCTCACACTTAGTCAATGAGGAATTGGAAATGGTTTTCAATATTTTACTTCTCACATTCCACCCCCAATTTTCAGTTCGTATTAGAAAGCATGATTTAAAGAAATGAGTAGATCTATTTATACTCCAATACAATACTTATACCTGCTCCAAGTTCCAATGGCCGGGACAACACAGGTGACATTATACTATTGTCCACTAACACAAGAGCACCATGTGAATGAGCCATCTCTGATATTTTCTGGACATGAATTAAGAAAGGAGAAGGAAACATAAATTTTATATTATTGAGAGTAGAGCCATTTTATATTTCAGATCAGAAGTTCCATATCATAATAAGACGAGGACTTGAATTTTGAAATTTGTTTTATATTAGATATCTGCAAATAATTAAGTGACAAACAATGACAAAGTAGTGAAGCTAATAGTAATTCAGGAAAGAAACTCCTATAACTTATGAAGGACAAATGTCCAATATAAACTGAAATTGTTAGTTATTTCGAAGAGGGAAAGCATGATTAATAATTACATTTGTTTAAGAAAATTAATATTGCCAAGTCTGCATGTTTTCAACATTGCAGTGACCTCTTATCTAGGTAGGGGGGAAAAATGATGAAAAAAATATTATTTGCTGGAAGTCATTATTAGATATACAGCCTGATAGAAATTAGAGTCAGGGTATTATTTAGGCATTAATCATAATTGTGACACTCCAAACATAAAGGAAAAAAGCATCATGTTTCCTGAAGTCACTGTAAACAATTTTCTTTTCATATTTTAGAAGAAGTGAGGGAGGAACGGGGATCAGAGTGAGATGCCTTATTGAAAGGCATAAATTCTATAGCATTTCGTGAATACTAATAAATAAATATCCCAGGCAGTTGACATTTCAAAATTATATACCAATGACAGCAACTACCTCCCAGTTTCTTAGGCGTAACACTGATTGAGGTAAAGAAGAGGATAACAACAACCACCATAGAAAAACTTAATCAATACCATTGACCCTCTGAAAGTCAAAACTACAAATATGACACCTTACTCGAATATCAGAAATTTGTAGCCGGGGATTGGTTGGACTCTCCAGCCACACAAGCTTCGTCGCAGGTCCAATGGCAAATGCAACCTCATCCAGATCACTTGTATTTACCCGTCTGCACAAACAAGAATTGACGTAAGATCATTAGAAGCTGTGAACCCCATGGAACTAACAAAGTTGGCTGATATCTTATATAATTAATTAGTCACTCTGTAGTAAATAACTAAGCAGAGCTAACAAATGAGACTAACTTCACCACAACTCCAGTCCTTGGAACTACTTGAGACAGCAACCTATCTGAGCCCCCATATACATCATCTCCAGCAACAATTTCCTCACCTACATGTAAATTTTCAGGAATAAATAACAATTAACTATCATGTTTCATAAAAAAAATAAACGAAAATCTATGCTTGCAACCCCACAGTTCATGAGTAAGTTTTCTCTGTAATCTGTTCTACTTTTGCTATGAATCCAATACAGGACTAATCGATGAAAAAGTAATAAGACAAAACGGATTGAAGCCCCAGAGTAGCCAAAAAAATGTTACACTATGCCACATTGTGCACCTGTTTAATATTTTATTAGTAAAATTATAATTTTATCACACATATTTAATAAAAATAACCTTAGACCAAACAGGTACTTGTAAGCTAATCGAAACTCAAATAACTAACAATGAAGAAGAATCAGATTTTATCACACTGATGAAAGAAAAGGTACCAGTTCCAACAAGATGAACAACAGCACTCAAAGCAGCCATTCCGCTGGTGAAGCACAAGGCTCTATCTGCTTTATCAAGTTCTGCCAGTAAACTAATAATATAAAACATGCAAATTAAAAGAGGATGGACATAGAAACATAATATGATACATTCATAGTTGCAACACAAAAACAATCATGTCATTATCAAATCAAACCTTTCTAAAGCATCCCGCGTCGGATTTCCACTTCTGGTATAGTCATAGGGACCGTTTTCTACTGCAGAGGGCTGCATAAAGAATAGTATAAGACATAAAGATGTTAAAAGAGAGATATTTAATAGGTAAGCTAAATACTCATGTATGCATCATGCATTTATCCAAGATACCAAAACTTACACAAATAAACAAATCCAGCTATAGGGAATTCTGTCACAAGATAATATACAAAATCAAAGTTTCACCTGCTTAAAAGTAGCCGTTTGGTAAAGTGGGGGACTAATTGCTCCAAAAGGATCAAACTTATTCTCGAAATTCATCACTATTGTAGAAATACTTGGCTCCCCTAAATCCTCTTCTGCAAACAGAAAGAATTAGCATTTATACGCAAACATAAACCCTATATGTGCGAGCTCAGGAAATACAGAAAACACCACCTAAGCTCACGGCAGCATCGTCCACAAAAGATGATGATGATGATGGTGATTCCACATCCATTTCTCTGTTATCAACCAAGCAACTCAGCTTGAACCCCCCAGCACGCAACACTCTCTTGGTACTGAAATATTCTGGCTTGTTAAACCCCAAACACTCCCACCTGGTTGCAGCAGTTGAGCTCTGAAACACACCATGCCAAGGACAGAATGGGAATCATATACCGACGAAACTGGAATCATCGTTGAGTGAAAAATATGATTTTGAAACATGTTTTGAGCTCTTGAGGTAAAAGGGGTCATCATGGGGGAAAGTCCACAATTCTCATATCTACAAGACTTTATTTTTTTTGTTTGTCATTATTGCATATCACCCCAAAAATTAAAAGTGTAATTTCTTGCACTCTCTCGGGAAACAAAACACCTTGCAAATACACAGCAAATGAAGGACAGAAAAAAACTAAAAAGGGGAAGGGTTTTTTACCAGAGTACAACGATCAATAACGAGGGACTGAAGGAAGGGCTTCAGAGAAATTGCAGAAGAAAACATTATTGAAATTGATGTGTTTTGAGCTGTGTAATGATGTCTGTGCTTGTGTTAGTGTTCGATTGTTCAGCCTCGATACCGTCTATGCATTTGGTCGCCATTTCGGCGTGTAGGGGACTAAAAAGAATTGCATTTGGTGAAAAATTGATTCACTGTTCCCATTTTTGTTTTGTGAAAATAGAGTACTAATTTTAGAAAAAGATTTTAGTTTTAACAAAATAAACTGTTATTTAATTTTAATTAAAAAGAGAATTATAATTAGATAACAATTTTTTGCTGTTTTAATTTTGTACATTTTTTCTCAGTAGAAAGGAGAATAAGATGTGAAAGATTGGTTTTTGCGAACTTATTGTAATATTTAAAAATAGTATTAGGGCCATGAGATCCAAGATACTTATTATAGAAAAAGATGTCCCCTATCAAAAGAAATAGATGTTTGGTGTTAAGAGGAAAATGAGAAAAAGATTTTATGATGCAGTATGTAAATTTTGTATATTTGTATGACGAACACTATTCTTATTTTGGGTTAAGGTTGAGTGGACATAACATAAATATAAAAAGGTTATAATAATACACAACAACTAACAACCAGGGTTCCCAGAAGCCTGAATGGGTTTCCATTTACTTCTTCGTTGTCTTCCTTGAAACCACGCATCCCATGGCCATGGCACTCGACGCTGCACTCTGGATCGCAAAGATGACCTGGATTGCTCTCAGTGGCTGGATAAGTTCTTGTTTAACTGTTGCTGACGAATTTGCCTCTTCTCTACGCTCTGGCGATATTGGCCCCTTTCATGTGGGTTGACTCAATTATGTCTCTTTCTTCCAACATCGGTACTTACTTACTGGGTATTGGCTACACAGCATCAAGTTGTTATTTTCGATTGCCCCTTCAAACTAGGCTTGATTGGATGTACTGGGTATGTGTCAAAATCTCTTTTTTAGTCTTGCGTGTGTGTTTTGAGCTGGAATGGAGTGATGGTTCTGGCTTGTATTTTTGGGTCAGAGAAAAGGAATTGTTCGTTTTGTGAGATTTGGGGAATTGCGAGGCTGCTTGTTTTAGGTTGTGTGTTGTAGCTTGTTGATTGGTTTGCTGCGTACTTTGTTTAGGGATGAATTCGAATGCTAACACAATCGGTTGGTTCTCTGTTCTTACTTGATTAGGTGATGGTACACTTGTACCAGTCAAATTGGCTATTAAGATCCATCCATAGTTAGCAATTTGTCATATATGATAACCACTGAGCATCTGGTAAGGGATCAGCGATTCTTTGGCCAGAGAAACACTGTGAATGAGAGCTTTACATTTTTATTTTTTCTTTATTATTTGCATAGTCTCTAACTTACCCCGAACCGGTGTATGGTGCAAATTCTTGACCAATTAGATAATGTGATGAACTTTCAGCTGAATCAATCAAGACAGTAGTAAGATATCATAAAAACTTACTGGAAATTATGTTGAGCTTTTCGGCTGATTGATCTACTGATTAACTCAATATATAAGGAAAAATACCGAGTGAATGGATTGAATTTTTAAGGGTGCTACTTCTGATTGATGCAAGGCTATGTAAATATACAGAATTTTGATACTAATTTGAGTTAAGTGATGTTTAGAAAATTCTAGGCATATAACTGCCCTATATATCATCAATTTGGCCTTCATATGTTGCATGAGGTAAGTCTAGAGGAACACATTTCATTTGGCATTTTCTTTTACCCTATAACTAGTTAACTATGTAGGGTTGGCTCATTCTCTATTTTATGGGTTCAATGTAGGAGTTCATGCATTAAGAGAATGAGAATATTTAAGAGTAAGTTTGCCTCATTTGTTGTTGTGATATTCTTTTCATCGTTGCTTTCATTGTGATTGAATATTAAACTTACGAAAAGGCTGAACAATCCCTGAATCTGTTTTCGTTGCTCGATCATGTCGTCCAAGTTGTTAAATCAATTCATGAATTATCTTCAAACTAACAGGATCCATAGGTTTGTTTTGGTTACATTAATCCATACCATCTTTAGATCTACCTTCAAAATCTCACTAATTTAAGAAAACCTATTAAGTTGTTTAAAGAAATCAACCACCTATTGTGGTTGAAACAACAGTTTATTGAAATGAACGGTTGAAAAAAAAAATAATGGGTTCCATTTATATATTCAAGTAATTTTTGAAAGTGTACTATCCATAAGAAAAAAGTAAAACGATTGATTAAAAAGAATTCCTTTCTGTAAAGCTAGAGAGGGAAGGTGACAAAGTCAAAAAGAAGCATTCCTTTGAGTGGAGCTGTAGAGGAAGGGAACAAGAAAAGTTTTATTTGTTTTTGTGTTCATTGTTTTTCAGATTCCCCTTGTTTTTGGTTATTCACTGCCCTTTGGAGTAAAACATTAATTTTCCTGAACCTCTTATACTGTACCGTCGTAGTTATTAATTGTAGTTATCATGTATAGTATTTTCTTCTTTTACGTTTACAATAACTATTATAAAAGTCAAAATCGATAACAAATTCATATTAATATATAACTATTAAACTTATAACAAAATCTTGATTGCCAAGCAAATTATCCTCTTTCTAATTTCTTATTTATTTGCTATACATAATTGTTGATTATATAACTTTTGGATAAATTCGAGTTTCCACCCTAGATTTCTATATAATTAAAACTTGTCGAGTTATTTTATTTTATTTTAATTTTTTGCATTGATAAGAATAAAAAATAGCACATAAATTAGTTTTGGTTGGATGATGGCTATGCATACCATAAAAGCAAAAAAATGTCATAATTTATTAAAAAATAAATATAGACATAATTCAATACGACCAAATTAGTTTATAAAATAAGATTCATAGCTTTACATAAATTGTTTATATTTTTTAGTGTAATATTTTTAGTCGATATTCGATTTAATCTCACATGGAGAGGATAGGAGTGATTTCTAATTCCAACATTATTCTTAAGTTTATATCTGGATAAATGGTTTTACATTATCAATAAATTAAAAATAATAATAGCTATGATTTTCATCAAAAGTTATAAAGGGAGTGCACTGTATCACGAATATTGCCAATTATCTCTATTTAATAGATGTCTCTAAATTTGCCAAACTTTCCTTATGACTGAAGAATAGTGCTGGAAAATCCTCTTAACACTGGCGACGAACGTGGCAATCGGTGGTGGCTAGCCGCACAGGAGAACAGGGGGCGTGGATTGGTTTGACTTTCAAAAGAAAATTAGACCGCACAGGAAAATTGGGTTTAACATTAGAATCTAGTTTGCCATGAAGCACTCAATCTAGGAACATGTTTTTGCCTTCTATCTTTCTTTTTTCCAAGTTGAAGATGGGACGCCTTTTTAGTCATGAAAACTTCGATACAAGTTTCTGGGTTTGTTAATTCTCCCCGCATTTGTAAGAGTTCAACATTTTTTTAATCCAAGACTCTGGATGAATCGAAGACATTCGCAGGAATCTTTCTTCTGCTTTTTTAACATTTGAAACAAGTTACAGTTAAGTCTCAGCATTATTTCCAAGAATAACTAAAGCAGAGAGATGCAGAAGGGAAGAGTTGGGAATTTTATTGCATGATCAAACGCCGATTTTAAAACCTGCGAGCATATTAAGTAAAAATACCAGAGGATGGCTAAAGTGAATATTAAACATTAAGAAAACTATAATAGCAGAGCAACAGGTGATGTTTGTCTGGCCCCATAATGGTCCATTCACTACTGTATATTGTTTTTTTTTTTCTAGAAAACAATTTTATGCAGTCTATTATCCGGAAAATCAACAAAACACAATAATATAATTCTAGTATCTACTCAATTTAGAATAAGCATATAGTACAAAAGGCCAAACACACAAGAGGAAAAAAGATTATTATTTATTTGCACCGTGTCTTTCCCTTCCATGCAAGCATTCCAACTTTCATTTCACCATCACCAATATTGAGGTGAGTGCACTTTCTACACACCAATGCATATGTTCATCCAACAGTTAAATTTCAAAACCTCTAAAGTTTTATGTACAATATTTTAAGCATTTTGTTCAACCTGCAATCAATATAAACAATTATCAGCTCTGTAGCTAAAACGGTTATAATTGGTCACTACGTAAGCATCTAACAAAAATTAAAAAAATAGCTTGATTTAATTTGCAAATTTTACACATAGTGGCAGTTTCCACATAAATTGATCCTTAACAATAGACGGAAAGAACACACCTGAAAGTTTGACAACCAATTGGTATCGACTATTCACTCCCGAAGTCTTCATAACTTAAGCCTTCTGATATGGAGTCCAGCCTATTATTGTCTACTTAAAACGAAGACAGCAAAGGTATTAGCATCGAGGCACAAAACAATAGTATACAGGTGAGTGAGATTGTTTCTCACCTTGTTCTCCTCTGTCAAGGAAGTTCTCATTATCCGTAGCTAGGAAGGGTGACCTAGAATAGGTCTCCAGTATATCTGTCAAATAAGAACCTAAACTATAAGTGCTGATAATTTATCCACTAGTATGTAATAGCACGGAAAATGGCTTGAAACTTTGAAAAATCAACATGAAACAAAGCTTGACTGGCATTTTATTCATCACCATCAGTAAAGATGCACTTTCTCTGTCGAGCAATAGTATGCAATGCGTGCAGATATACACAAGGATCCGAAACAAACTTGAGAGAAGACATACCAGAACTCTGAGAAAAATCAGCAGTCAGATCTGAAAGGCTAAAATTTCTGGGAATCTGCCCCAGAAATCCAAATGAAGAAGTGTCTGGATCTAGGACTGCCTCGTTCAGTGAATGTGAGTTGGACTCCACATTAGTGAATGACGTAACTGAACTGCCACCAATAGTTGGGCGTGCCTCCAGGACATTTCCATCAGTACCAAACATGTAAGGAGAACAACCAGAATATCCCGGTTCAGATTTGATCATCCCACCATTCATTCCTTGTATCAGACCCATGTTTGCGCTTTGAGCAGAAAGCATGCTGGGAGGGCCATTAATCCTATTGCCATGAGTTGACATATCAACTGCAGCATGCATACTTGTATGTAGAGATGACCCGCCATTATTAAACACATTAGATAATCTGGAATCAACAGGATGTTGCATGTTTTCTGGCTTCAAACTTGTTTGGGTTCGGTCTGCAGTGTAGCATGCTGGATTCTCAGGTACTGTAACACAGTGACATTTGAAGTCAAATTAACAAAATGATCAGAATTAAACATTCAGTAACATGTGTAAAATAACACAAGTTACTTTACCCCTTTCATCTGTTTATTTCCTCATTTACAATAGAACAGTAGAATATGTAATTTGAATATTTAGAATAACTAAAATTACTAAGAATATAGCATAAACAAAGAATTCAATCCAGTCCGCATCATCCTCCTTCAGTCCTTAGCATAAAAATCCGGGGAATTCAAGTCATGTTCTTCACTTACAACAAAGAATTTCCCCCTAAATTTCTCAAACTAACAAAAAACTTAGAATTGGTGGTCATTTTCTAAGTCAGTTCTAAATCAGGTAAAATCTACCATAATTATCTTTCTTTCATAGTGTTTTATATATTCTTAGTACCTAGAAACAAAAATTGACCATTGAACCAAAATCTTAACTAGCAATCAATATAAATGAATGGAAATGCTAACAAGATAAGACAAGACAAAGTAGAATATATTTTACTGGAGACTAACTTCAAAACATTCAAAATTTACTTCTTCAAGTTTTAAACAATTAGTAAATGATGAAATCCAACGAATTTTTCCAATTTAACCCTATATTTATCAAGCCTTAAAAGCAACCAGGACATTACACATTGGGAAAATAATGGCGGTTGCATCTAAGTGTAAGAAAGAGACCATATGAGCCCATGAAGTGCCCAGGGTGAGAAAAAAAGACTTCCAACTACACAAAGGAATCTATAAAAAAAAAAAAAAAAAAGGATAGGATATTTACAGCATTCAGAGAGATAATAGACTTACTAGCAGGGATATGTGATCCATTAGAATTAGGTAGTGATGAAACTTCTGGGATATGTGACCCGTTAGTTGTAGGCAGTGATGCAACAGCAGTTGAGTGTAACTGCATTAATTGGACTTGCTGGTCCAGCAATTTGTTGAATTGCATTATTTGCTGCTTCAAAACCAATCTTGCATAATAAGCCTTGAAGAACTCCTCATTTTCTTCTTCAAGCTTTTGCCAAACTGAAAAAATGAGGGGAAAAAAGCAAAGAAACTTATAATAGAGAACACTAAATGATGGATGCAAGGTGACAGTCATTCTTTCACACCAATGCCAATCAGGAAGGACAAAATAGCAATTTCAACTGAAACAATAAATTACCAAATCTTACTCATCCCCAGGTCCAGCACTATGTCAAGTATCAAAACTATCATGGCTTTTCAAGAAAATAAAGGGGGGAAGCAGTGGATTGGATAAACATAGGTAAGGGTAATATGAAACTACTAATTGCAGGAGCTGCAGCAGCTAAACAAGCAATCACATTAAGTTACATATAACAACCTTCCAAGCTCTTGCTTATTTTATTAAAAAGTTAATTCCCTTGCAAGGGAAATTGAAATATTATACCATGTTAAAATTGCAATGTAGATTTCTACAAAACACAATTTTACAGCCCTGCTACCTTATTATCCCGAGGCTACATACAATCGAATCGAGACACAACCCAGTTCACATAAACCTTGATTTTTAGCCTGTGATTCTTTGTCCCCAAAACAGAACCCAACTCCCTTTCAAGCGTCTGCAGATATGCCCTTTGCAGGTCACAGATGACTCGTTTGCAACCGCCATCTCTTTTGTTTTGAACAGCCATCCTCATCTCTCAATTTACACACTCACACACACACACACATATATATATATATATTAGTATAATTTATAAATGTATAATTTTACATTTTGGTAGGATCTTACTTTCCTTGCTACAATCCTACGTTTTCAGATCTTGCAACCCCCCTCCAACCCAATCCTAAGTAGGATCTCGATCTTGACAACATTACTTTAAGGCAATAATAGGAGCTGTTATAAATAAGAAAACATAAATTGAAAACTTATCTGATACTCCATGAATAAAAACTCTAGACGTGTCTTATACAGGCATGCTTCTTCTAGCTTGTTGATCTAACTCAGTAGATAAAGCAAACTAGCTGATCTTTATCGTAGTTTCAGCTGTGCCAAGTAGCAGCACGATTGTAGAATCATGTCACAGAGCAGCTGGAACATGCTATAAAAATTGAATGGTGTGGTAGTTTGAAAGTAGCAGCTGTCACAGCTGCCATTGCCGGAAAAATTTCAGATAATCAAGGCTGGATTGGCACTATGGGTAGCAAAAACCCATCTTAACCATGAAAACATGTTCTTTAGGGCCATGTGAGGCGATCAATTCAAGAATCTACCCCTCCTTTGAATCCAAAGGGGCACCTCTACTTTCTCAGTCACTTACGCACACTCTATTATGAAGTTGAACTTTCTGATGAGCACCCACACTTCTCCGGCAACATTTTCTGGTATTTCCCAGTTTTTTCTGGCCAGCTGTGACAAGATTTTGGCCATCCTTACCTCTGCTCTCCATAGTTTCCAATCATCTCTGATACATCTGTGGCCCTTTGGCAAACATGTCACCATTTCCAACTGTGACCTTTGCCAATTTGCTTTTTTCTGCCCCACATTGTTCAGTTTTTTGAACCCCTCCAAACAGAACTTTCAACTCACTGTCTTGTGCTCTTTTCTAAGTTACACCCTTTAGTCTTTTCATTCCAATTGGTAGGCACAGTGGCCATCCAGCTAACTTCTGTAGCATTTTCAGGGTAGAGCCACTTCACACTATTTAGGATTGCCAACATTGATTTCAACTTTATGTCACTATAGGCATTCAGGAGTTCAACATTTTTTCAGCCAATTAAAACTGCAATCAATTTGTACAGGCTTCTCCAATTTTCTTCATTTCAAGAAATAGTAAAATAGAACTTGTACAGATTGGTTCTCCACAAGATAATCAGATAGCAGATAGAATTCAAATAACCAACATAACTCCCAGTGGCACAGAACAAGGTTGAAAAGAAATAATTAAGGGGGGATGGCATCTTCAGAATGAAAAAAATTATATAGAAAGTATAAAAGTCAGTTGAGAGTGGCCTAAGCCTCCATTTAACTCAATCGTAGTTAACAATCCTTGATTGCAGCACCGGGTATGTGATCTCAAACACTACAGTGAGATGGTAACAACAAGGTGGCTGCTAAACTAAAGTTTTTAACATACAAAGTAAATACATAAACAATGCTCCCAAACAGATTCTCAAATACCAAATAATAAGAATTTATTGGAATTTTACCATTTCTCGCTATCCTTTTAACATAAATCAAAATAACATAACTAAAATGGGAATACCGAACAAACAATCAATAATATAAATAAAGTGATACCCTAACAAAAACGTGCTACTCTAAAAATTTCAGCAGTCAAGTCTTCTAATAACATTTGTTGCTCAACACAACCCCATAAACCAGTGGTTTGAGAACTGTTGACATAAAAGGTCAAAATACAAAAAAGGATGACAGAAATATCTAAGAACTGCCAAATGAACCAGAACACCAGCATCACATCAAAGCACCGGATTTCTAAAACATATTTTCTAAGGGGAAACATTTTGGTTGTTTCTTACACTTCATGCCATAAACCCACAAGACCGTTATTAAGCACAAGCAATGTCTCCACTTTATAAAACTTAAGATACGACCTGAATGTCTCCATTTTTTAAATGATATAAGCAAAATATTACTATGGAGAAAAATAGAAAAACTATAACAGAGGTTTGACAGTCATGATTATAGAAGCACAATTCTCACAATGAAATGAAAAATATTACAGAAGTGAATCAATTAGAACTTTTAATCATGTATACTGTATAACACATCAAGAGTCTCACCAGATGAAGATGGAGTAAAATACAAATGAAGGAAAAAAAAAATACACCACCCCAGTGCCAGAGAATAAATTTTTCTACCTAGTTCGGTGAAACCAGGCTCTATTTTTGCTTGAGCTAGTAGTGTTTCCACCACTTCTTTCTGGCTCATATATAGTTGAAGACATCGTTCTATGAGATTTTGCACCTGTTATGAGACAAGTACACCAAAAGGAAATTAAGTCAGCAACCTCTGGTAGATGTAAGATGAACTGAACTGTATAGGGAATAGTGAAGAGATTTGGAAGAGGGAGATGGGGAAGATTGTAAGACAGGGCAAACAGAACAACTCAAAAGTGACGACTTTGAAAAGACTCAAAACCAGTAGCCTGGCCAGAATAAATACTCAATGAACACATGGAATGACATACTTCAAAACCCTAAACTAATAATTACCTTAATAACAATACCCTGTTAGTCTTTAACAATTAAAATGAATGTAACAATAAAGCATGAAAAGATACTTACTCTCTGTTCTCACAATGAACAAAATATTACATGCTAAAGCAAAATTGACTAAAAATGAATAAAATTTTTATGGCATATTCACATCTAGATTTTTAAAAAATGTCCATGATTGCAATTTTGCTGCAAGGTAAAGGTATTAGGAGTGTCTACAACCGCAGTAATTCACAATTTTACACAATATCAACTCGACAAATAGGCACCATGAATACAATTCAAAACCTTGCTTATACGGGAAAAAAAGAAAAAAAAAGTGATCGAAACTTTTATAATCACTAAACAAGTTTGCCCTAGACAACAAGTTATATATGCAAACATCATTTCATCCTTAGAATATTCAACACAGAGTGAGATCCCAACTTACCAGCTGAATATCTTGACGGGAAACCCGTCTCACTGATCCACTTGACATGTCGAAAGTTACCGAAATACTCTGTCAACAACTACCTGAAACATAACAACACAGGGAAAAGGATTAGCAATAACGGTTCACTGCTTCAGTTCACTGCAAAACTACCAAAACAGAAAACAAGTCAAATTTCCCACAAAACTTCACCCACAGAGCCATAACAATTTGAACAAAAGAAAAAACGCAAAAAAAGTAAACAAGGGACATGTAAACGCAGTGCGAGAAAATCGAATATTCCAAATTCTCTGACGAAACTATACAAAGACACTAAAATGAAAAATCGGGTGCAGCTGGAAAGGCGGGATCAATGAAAGGAAAGAAAGCAGCGTGAGAAGGAAGTTGGAGGATGAGGAACCCTGTAATGAAAATCGGGAAACGCGAGAAAAGATGAAAATCGAGGAATCGGTGCATGTGTGGTGAAGAGAAATTGGAGGGAAAAGTAGTTGCAGTTGTAATTGAGAGAGATTAGGGATTTGAAGTTGACCTTCAATGGAGAAAAAAGTGACGAGGACAGAGAGAGGTTAACGAAGAGAGAATTGGGTGTGTGGGTTAATTTTACGCTACACACTTGTTACAGTGGCGCAGGCATATTCCACCACGTCGTTCTAACATATAAGGATTTCCAATTTACCATTATACCCCTCCTTTAGAAACAAGTTCCAGGTTCTAATCTTGCGGCACTTTGGTCCACTTGTACATTATATGTGTACTATTAACTCTTTCTTTGGTAACAAGAACAAAAATTAACAACAGATATGAAAGATGGAAATAAAAATAAATAAATGTAACTGAAAAAAAGTATAAGAATAAAGTAAATTTAGTTCATAATTATATAAATTATGGAAATTGTGGATTATCCAAGTATGTGGGAATGAGATATTATTTGTAACATGATGTATTGTAACTGAGAGTTGAAAACTAATGCAAAATAAATTATAAATTAGAAATTGAAATAAATAGTTAAAATCCAGGTTGTCTTAAAATATGTTACCATAAGATAGGTTAATCTTAAAAAAAAACTTATAATTATATAAATTTATTAAAATAAAAATAATTTGATGAAATGATCATTTAAAAAAATAAATTAAATTCGAGTATTTTTAATTTAATTCTATTTTAAAACAGTAACTTAAATTAAATAAGATTATTTTGTTTGTGATCTAATTCGATTCAGATGATATAGATAAAAAAAATTATGAATGGGTTTTTTATAAAATAATTATTTTATTTTATTTATTAAAATATTTACATGTATTATAATTAATATATAAACTATTGTATTTAAAATTAAAATTAAAATTAACTTCAGTTTGAAATATACATATTTATTTATTTTTAATTTCAAATCATTTTTAAAAAATATTTAAAATGTTTTAATATTTAAAAAAAAAGTGAGTTAAAATGATATATTTTAATACCTCTAAACACCGTACTATAGTAGGCAATATACAATGGTATGAGTTGTGTTGAAGGCATCAAATTTGTGTTTATGTATTATTCAACAATAAAACTAGTTAATGTTTTGCATTCCACTAGTCTATTAGTATTTGGTTTACCCTTTAGCTTAATCTATAAGTATCCCATGTGTACAATGAAAGCATCAATTATTATAATGTAATAAGAAGAGAGTTTAATAAATAAATAAATAAAAAGTTGGTGTCTTAAAAGTTGGTGTCTTAAATCCTAAGTAGCCCATCAAGTAATTAATTATACCTTGCATCCTCCATTTTCAAACTCTACCTTATGTTTAAATGGAAAAATTAGAGACGAGAATTCATTTTTATAGAGATTTTAACTTAATTTAAAATAAAATGTGGTTTTAGGTGTTAAAATAATGGAAACTCGTATTGATAAATTTATTATATAAAATAAATAAACAAATTACCTAAAGATTAAGAATTTAAATTTTTTATATAATTTTTTTTTAATTTGTGTCTAATTCATTATTTTACTTCATTCTCTTTTTTATTTTAAATGATCTAAATATCATTGTATACAAGAGAAGTAATTTGTATTAACTAAATATGAAATCATTGTATACAAGAAAAATAAGTTGTATTAACTAAATATGAAATCATTGTATACAAGAAAAATAAGTTGTATTAACTAAATATGAAAAGAAGAAGCTCATCATGTTTAATAAGCATTTAATAAAAAAATATATCTACTAATATAAAATTATATCATAAAATATTAATGTTTTGAAAATTTAACTCGATCGACTAATTTAATTGGTTGAACAGGGAACTAGACTAGAAATTGGTCAGTTATTTTTAAATAATTAAATTTTAATTGAATTAGGACAAAATCGGTAAAATAAAATAAAAATTAATCGATTTTTTTATCAAACCGATTTTAGTAAAAAAAAATATTTATGATCAATTTTTTTAATATAATATTTTTACAGATATAATATATTTTAGTTTTTTTATCTAATATTGGTTAAGCCAAATTTAAATAATAGTTATTTTATTATATTTTTATCTTATTTTAACAATTGTCTATTTTTTATTTTTTAATATATTTTATATTTATAACTTTTATTATAATTTTATATGACCATGAAACAATTTTTATTTTTTTTATAGACAATATTTTTACTAATAAACTTATTATATTATAAAAAAATTAGTTTATCAATTTCGGTTGGATCCTAGTTGAACCATAATTGAATCTTAAAACATTGAACTCATGTTTTCACCTGGTTTAGTGACTAATCTAGTTTTAAAAACATTATAAAATACTAATAAACTTGTGCAGAACCAAATAACAAATAAAAATATTATATCCTATATTAGTTAGATATAATCTTCATATATCTAACATCATCTCGTTCTCATGTAATCATCACAATCATAATAGTCAATTTCATATAAAAAAAATAAGGGTAAGTTAATTATTTAAATAATAATTGACCATTTAATTTACAACACATGTAATATTAAATAAGTATACTACATTACATCAAATCTCACCATATCACATAATTTTACATGATATTTATATTTGACTCGTTAAGACATCTTTCAGAAAATCGATACTATACTCCAAACTCAAAAACTAATATTTGTGGGTTAATATTGAAATTGATAATACACCATATACTCTATGACTACTCATACAATTATGGATTATCTACCCATAGAGTAAGACTACTAACAACATTACATTCATCCAGATGCACCTCTCTCGTAATCTTAGGGCAAGTCATCAATAATCTCCTCCTCAATTCCTCACCTACTGATATCTTATCCTACTTGACTGAGGTTATCAATGGAACCTGGGATCTTATTGAATCCGCACAAGCATAGTAACCACATTAAAACCATATAGATATTCTTAGATACTCACAATCACACACATCTCAGTCAATTATGAATCAAATTCCTGACTCGACTTAGCCTCACATGCAAAGATATATCTCAGTATTAACAACACACAACAACATCATATCATCACCTAATTTATCATACATATCATCACCTAATTTATCATACATATCATATTCTTACATATATCAATATACTATATTTATTTTGAACTAAATACTACAATTATACATTTTTCTAATTTGACTTTTACCTATTATTTTAGTCATAACTTTCTTTGAAAATCTCTTTTTAAGCTAATTCTTATTTAATTGATTTCATCATTTTCGGGACTTCAATTTGAATATATGGAACATAAAATTTGGTATCCATAGCTATTTTTTTATGATTTTTAGAAGTTTAGATAGAAAACACTACTAAAATTTTGCTCGAGCGAAAAAGTGTTTACTTAAGCAAAATTTCAATCGCATCAATTCTCTCTTCTCTCACTTTAGTAAAATTTTAGTCGACTTAACTTTCAATTGAACATAAATAGCCTCGCTTGAACAAAGATTAAATTGATTTGACTCTCGCTTGATTGAACCGTCACTGTCTTAGGTCATCTCTTCCACCTCACTCAAGCGAATTAGGCTTTGCTTAAGCGAAAATTATCCTTATAAGTGAGATTTTTCTAAGTTTCTTGTCTTTCTCCATCCCAATACCCAAAAATACAACTCATATATATTACAACATGTAATAGGAACATATTTCAACATCAAAACATATAAATATTTTTTTCTACTATCATTACAATACACAACACACACACACACACACACACACATATATATATATATATATATATATATATATATATATATATATATATATGGATACTTTCTTTTAACTCCTCTTTCCTCAATATTCCAGAATCATAACCCCTCCAAATATATGTGCAATCTATAATCAATACTTTGGCTTTAAAAACTAGACAGCATCCTCTATGATAATGATATATCTTATTACCTAGATAGAGGAAATGATTTACCTGTGTAAAGTTATGTTTGAGTATAATCCCTCCTTATCTCTTCAGATTTTTCTTATTATTTTTGGATCTAAAATATAATAGAGTATCTAAAATCTAATAAATTTAAATTTAGAGTGAGCCTAAATTATTCTATTTTAGAGAGATGAATGTTTATAGAAAGTATTTAATTTGATATTCTATTTATAAAGTTTTGCAAATAACCGAATATATTTTTTATGTTTAAAATAAAAAGACTACATGGTTACATCTAGTGAGTTAATTACCTACGTGATCTTGGTTTCTACAACATTGCAATATTCATTACCATATTAGCCATTACATTTGTTTGGTGTAAGTCATTGTTCCATGTGAGTCTAGAATTTTGATGACACATTTTGATTTCCAAAATTTGTGGTCTCGTGAATAAATGGATTGGGCAAAGTTAGAGAAACAAATATGGATCATGCAGGTGACTGAAAAGAAAAGCCCAACATTTTAAAGGCTCTTTTGGGCTGTTTTTTTTTTTAATCCATCATAACTTATATATATATATATATATATATATATATATATATATATATATATATATATATATATATATTACTTGAAAATATAGAAACGAAACAAAAAATACCATAATACAGATGAAAATATGAATAGAGAAATTT